TAAGGAGAAAGGTTGCCGTAAGTAGACGCAGAGAAATGTGGCAGCTTGTTGGTGCGAAATGTCTGGGGAGTTCTCACCAAATCTAGAAAGTCTAGAAAGTAAAGAAGTTCCTCAGGTGGATAAATATGAGGGCTATTAAAGGAGGTTCACAGGTACAGGGAGAGGGAGAGGTAGTCCGGTCGGCCTGTAGAGCGGGGACGGCTGTGTAAGAGCAGGAAGAAAGGGAAATGCAAAGCCAGCAATTGTTCGCTAAGGAGAGATTAGAAATGGCAGGGAGGGAGTCAGTGAGATTGATAGTATGTTGGAGGTAATTAGGGAGGGGTAGAGAGTAACTGGAGAATGGGGACAAGGATAAGAGTGAGTAGAAAAGTAGAAAAAAAAAAAGACTTCATCAGGATAGAAGAATTGGAGTGTACCTTGCCACTGACGATCTTTTATCCACCTCAAGAGAGAGTTAAGGGTGGCTGTTTGAGGTGAAACCAGGATATATCCGTTATGATGGTTTGGAGGAAAAGTGTAAACTGGCAGTGTAAACAAGGGCAGGGCATTTACGAGTAGTTGAGAATGGTGAATAGGAGTATGACTAGACAGAAGATAGTAGGGATGACAAGTTTTTGGGATGCAGTCCAAGTAGCGGGGGTGACTGCATAAAGGCCTGTTGCAAAAAGTAGTGTAAGAATGAATAGACCTAATAGAATGAAGGGATATGTTAGGCTCATAAAGGTTATTACTGCTCTTCAGAAATGCGAGTGAGTTTAAGGGAAGTAGGAAAGAGTACTTGTGACTTCCAAGAGGAAGAGGAGAGATCAGGCTGGCTGTCCGATGGACACAGCTTTATTCTAGAATGGTGAACCCAATGGGGAGGGTCCAGCAGGCAGACGGCAGTTGGGATACTATAGATGACTAAGTAGGGTCCGGTCCATCGAGGTTGTAGAGTTTGAGGGGTCAGATTCTTAACAAGAACTGATCATCCAGCTTGGTTGTCTTCATATGGCTGGGAATCTGGAGTAGGCAATAGAATATTAGCATCTTGGCGGATTTCCTGTCTAGCCTGCTGGAGGACTGGAAGATAGTCACCTAGAGGTTGGTATCTGGGACGAGGTTGGGGCCAAGCAAGAAAGTGCGTCCATATAAATGTTCAAATGGACTGTACCCTGTAGTATCTTGAGGACAGGCTCTAATTCTGAGAAGGGCAAGAGGTAAAAGTACTGTCTAGTCCTTTTTAAGTTGGAGGCTGAGACTGGTGAGGTATGTCCTTAAAAGACCATTAGTCCGTTCTACCCTTCCTGAAGATTGAGGACGGTAAGGGGTACGAAGATTCCACTGAATACCAAGAGCCTGAGAAACTGCTCGGGTGATTTGACTAATAAAGGCCGGTCTGTTATCAGACTGTTTAGAGGTGGGAAGGCCAAACCAAGGAATTATGTCTGACAGAAGGGAAGAAATGACCGAGGTGGCCTTCTCAGACCCAGTGGGAAAGTCCTCTACCGATCCAGTGAAAGTGTCTACCCAGACCAAGAGGTATTTTAGTTTTCTGATCAGGGCATGTGAGTAAAGTCAATTTGCCAGTTCCGGGCAGGGGCAAATCCCTGAGGCAAGTGACATTTCTTTGAACTCCAGTTCTGGGAACTGCTCCTTCTGAAATTCTGGCTTTGTGATGCTGATATTGCCCTTGGGATCCAGTCCACCTTCCCAGGTCTGTGTGGAGAGAGATGAGCAGCAGCTCAGATCCCCTCTGGACTCTCTAGACTGGGTCCTTTTTCTTTTTCTATGTCCTGAAATTTTCTTCCACAGATGAGGTTACTTCTTCCCTTAATCCTTTCATTAAAAAACACAAAAGAGGCCAGGCGCGGTGGCTCACACCTGTAATCTCAGCACTTTGGGAGGCCAAGGCGGGCGGATCACGAGGTCAAGAGATCAAGACCATCCTGGCTAACATGGTGAAACGCCGTCTCTACTAAAAATACAAAAAATTAGCCAGATGTGGTGGTGGGCGCCTATAGTCCCAGCTACTCGGGAGGCTGAGGCAGGAGAATCACTTGAACCTGGGAGGTGGAGATTGCAGTGAGTCGAGATCGCGCCACTGTATTCCAGCCTGGGTGATGAGCGAGACTCCGTCTCAAAAAAAAAAAAAAAAAAGCACAAAAGATACTTCAAACCACAAACACTCTCCCTCTCCCTCTTCCATCCCCTCCTTGGTGGTGGAGTTCAAAATTGGAACCCCCAGGGGAAACAACAGGAGCCCAGGCAATTCTGTTCACCCTGATCATCCCTGAGCAGGCCACAGCTGAGGCCCCTCCTGGTTCTGGCCCTGGCTCACTCTCTGGGAAATTACCCACTTTATCATACAGCGCAGAGGCCTTTATGTGGCTGCATTCCCTCATTCACTGATTCATTCATTCCCTCAATAAATCTTTGTTGAGTGTCCACTCCAAGCACAGCTCCAGGCTGGGCCCTGGGGAGACAGCTGTGAATAGGACCCAATTCCTTTTCAAGGCAAGTCCAGTGTGGTGAAGGAAGCAGGGTTGAGAGTCATAATTCAGTAGGAAGTATTAACATAGGGGAAGTCTGGGTGCTACGGAAGCACGTGGTTGAGGGGGACCTCCCTGAGGAAGTAGCATTTCTGCCAAGACCTAAAGGATGAGAAGAAGTGAGCCAGGCAGAATAGGGAGCTTCCCAGGTGAAGGGAATAGTTCCTGCAGAAGCTGGCAGGTGAGAGAAGCCATGGCTTTCAGGGAACCCAGAGAGTTCTCAGTGGTTGGAGTATGAGGCGTGGGGGAAGTTGGCCCCTGTCTCCTCACTGATCTTCTCTCATGTAACTGCCCCTGTGTTCCCTCCACTTTAGCCACCCTGACCTCCTTGCTGCTCCTGAATATGCCAGGCACAGCCCAGCTCAGAACCTTTGCAGTAACTGCTGACTCTGCCCCAGGATGTCCACTTGGCTAACTCCCAGCTTCTTTCAAGTCTGTGTCCATGTTTCATTTTCCCACTGAGACCCATCTGAGCATCTACTTATGACCACAGGTGGTCCCCACTTACCACCAGCCACCCTCTTTCCCTCCTCTCCACTTCCTTTTTTCCCAAGTCTCTCTGGTCTCCTTCCACACTGTCTACCTTACTTATTCATCGTGATTATTGTCTCTCTCCCATGCTAGAATGTGAATGTGAACGCCGCAAGGACAGGGACCTTTGTTGTATTCAATGAGGCATCCAGGCCCTTGCACAGTGGAAGGAACAAACAGATGGAATTTGAGAGGCTGGCAGGGAAGCGCCAGGCTGCAGAAGCCTTGTAGGCCTGGGGAAGGCATGTGGGTTTGAGTCCCCAGTGCAAAGGGAAGACATGATGCAGAAGGGTTCCAAGGAAGGCAGAATCAGGATCTGAGTTATGCTTTAATAGCTCACACTTGAGTCTTTGTGGAGAACGACTTGAAGGAGAGTGATATGGTTTGACTCTGTGTCCCCACTCAAATCTCATCTCAAATTGTAATCCCCACATGTCGAGGGAGGGACCTAGTGGGAGGTGTTTAGGTCATGGGGGCAGATTCCCCCATGCTGTTCTCGTGACAGTGAGTGAGTTCTCACAAGAGCTGATGGCTTTAAAGTGTGGCACTTCCTTGCACATGCTCTCTCTCTGTCTCTCCTGCTGCCATGTAAAATGTTCCTTACTTCCCCTTCACTTTTCACCATAATTGTAAGTTTCCTGGAACCTCTCCAGCCATTTGGAACTGTGAGCCAGTTAAACCTCTTTGTTTATAAATTACCCAGTCTCAGGCAGTATCTTTATAGCAGTGTGAAAACTGACTAATACAGAAAACAATTTACTGTTGATATTCAGTGGTACCCAGGCTAGGGTGGTGGCATGGAGGCCTGGGAGAAGTGGATGGACTCCAGAAATTCACTAGAAGGTGGACTCACCAGGTCTGGGAGATCAGACGACTATGAGGTTGCAGGAAGACAGGGCAAGGAAGACTCCCAGGCTCCTGGTCTGAGCAACAGAGTCAGAGTAGAGCCATGTGCTGAGATGGGGGAGACAGGGGAGGCACAGGTTGGAGGCTTGGGTGTCAAGAGTTCTGTTTGGGCCATGATGAGTTTCAGGTGTTTATTAGACTTTCAAGTGAAGATGTCAAGTAGCTGATTGGACAAGGTCAAAGCTCAGAAGCATGGTCTAGATTGAAAATATATAATACATTAGGGGAATGTTGGCTTAGAGTTCTCTTTAAAGCCCTGAGAGTGTGGAGAGACAAGAAAAGATGTCCGAGAACTGGGCCTAAGGACCAAGTCCTGGAGCCTTCTGACTTGATCCCTGAAGAATGAGGACTTTGCCAGGAAGGTAGGAAGAAGGTAGTCCAGGCCGAAGGAACGGCATGGGCATGAGCTTGACCTAAAAGAACATGGGCCTCAGGGCTCTTAGAAACTGTGCAAGTCATCCAAAACAAGGAAAGTCTGAGAAACTGTCACAGCCAAAGCAGCCAGAGGGGACATGATGACTGAATGTCACGTAGTATTCTGGAGGGATTCTGGAACAGAAAAGAGACATTAGGTAAAAACTCAGGAAATCTGAATAAAGTATAAACTTTAGTTAATAATAATGCATCGATATGGTCTATTAATTGTAACAAATGCACCATACAACTCACATGTACAGCTGCATACATGTAAGGTGTTAATAACAGGGAAACTGGGTGTGGGGTATAAGATAACTGTCTGTACTATCTTCTTAACTTTTCCCTAAATCTAAAACTATTTTTAAAAATAATAAAGTTTATTTTTTAAAAAAGAGCATGTGTCTCATAAATACACACGTGGGCACACACACACACACACACACACATACATCCATTCCAAAGACTATGATAATTTCTTTCTCTGGAGAGGACTTTGACCCTGACCAGTGCCTTCAGTGGTCAAAAGACTCAGATACATTGTGAATATCCCATCACCCCTCCCTCTGCCAAAGAACCAAGGGTCCTCACCTCCACCTACTTTCTTTCTGTTTACAGAAAACATACTCTCCTCAGGCCAGATTTCATAGTGAAAATGAGAAGCAGAGACGAAATGGCTCAGGTAAGTCAGACCCACCTAGAATTCCTAGGTGCGGCCAGAGTCCATCCCTTCAGCATGCTCCACAAAAGCACATCCCATAGCCACAATTTCCCTGAGTCCCACTTTGCTCCACAGCTGTTTTGGTTTCCCCCTTGCAGCAAAAGTTCTGGCACCATCTGGGTTCAAATTCTGGCTCCACTACCAACTCATTATGTGATCTTGAGCACGTCACTTGAGCCTTATTTCCTTAACTGTAAAAGGGGCATAACCATTGCTTGAGGCCAGGCGTAGTGACTCATGCCTGTAATCCCAGCACTTTGGGAGGCCAGGGCAGGTGGATCACCTGAGGTCAGGAGTTTGAGACCAGCCTGGCCAACATGGGGAAACCACGTCTCTACTAAAAATACAAAATTAGCTGGATGTGGTGGCACGCACCTGTAACCCCAGCTACTCAGGAGGCTGAGGCAGGAGAATAGCTTGAACCCAGGAAGTGGAGGTTGTGGTGAGCCATCGAAAGAAAGAAAGAAAGAAAAGAAAGAAAGAAAGAAAGAAAGGAAGGAAGGAAGGAAGGAAGGAAGGAAGGAAGGAAGGAAGGAAGGAGAAAGAAAGAACCATAGCTTGGTCAAAGAGCTATCGAGTGGATTAAATGAGGTGAACTGTAAATTGGATATCATTTCATCCTCCGAAGAAAGGATATAAGGTAGTGAACGCCAAATATCTGGAATCATGCCTGGCACTACTGAAGGCGGGTTGTTGATGACAGACACAATCAATCTGACCAACCAGTGAGGCCCCCAAAGATCAAGTGTCACCTTGGGCCCCTGACTGGTGTCTGAGGTGTGGCAGATGGGCCTTCAGGACACTGGATGGTGTCTGGGGAGCAGAGAGGTACAGTACCCCTGAGTCAGAGCAGAAGCTGGGTCTGGGCAGTGGCCATGGGCCAACCAAAGAGAGCTTGGCCAACAGTTGGCCTTGAAGGTACCAAGACTGGTAACAGGCAGCCGAGACCCCAACAGCCAGCTCAAGATTCCCTGACCCTTTCAGACACAATCTTGAACAGAGGCCATCCAGTACCCTGGACAGCTCCAGGAGTCGCTAGATTTCGGGGGCATAAGTTTTGTGGGCAGAGAACTGGATTGGGTCTTGGTTGTGCACACATGGGCAAGCCACCTCACCTCCCTGAGTCTCAAAGACCTCACCTGTAAACTGGAGGGAATCCCACCCTTCAGGGCTGTTGTGACAAGTGAATGAGATAACAGAAAGGAAAAGGAGCAGGTGGTCAAGGTCTGTAGTCGGACCACCCGCATTCAGGTATCCCAGTCCCACACTGTGTGACTTCAGAGAAGTTGCATCACCCCTCTGAGTCTCCGTTTTCTCTCATTTGCAATGTTAATAGACCCTGCTTCATAGGATTATGAAGATTAAATGAAACAGAACATGAAGCACACAATTAACATGAATTTTTATTTTAGAAGAAACTTAGCACCAGACACAGAATAGATCCTCAAAATTGCCAGCTTCTGGTATCTCCTGAAGCCCCCTGGTGAGCTTGGCACCTCCCACCTTTAGACCTGATTGGCCCACTCATCTCTGATTGTTACAGACCCTCCACAAAGCCAAGAAAGCAATCTGGTGGAATTCCATAGACCTCCGCCCTCAGCCTTCGCACCCAGCGAAGACCCTGCCTCTCAGTGCCACCCACCCCATGATATTTGGGACATGTTTTAAAGTACCAGTATGTACTGTATAGTGTTTGTTCTGCACCAGCCTCTGTTCTGGGCTACACACACACACACACACACACACACACACACACACATACACACACTCTAAGCTGATTAACCTCACAACTATGTGAGGAAAGTACTCTGGTTATCCCCATTTTACAGATGAGGAAACTGAGTTTCTGCAAGGTTAGGTAACTAAATCGTGGGGTCACACAGCTATTAAATGGTGGTGGTGGGACCTAATCCCAGGTATGGCGCTTCAGAACCCCATGCTGGTAGCATCAACGAGGCCGGCGGCCAAAGAAAGGAGAAGAGTAGGCGGGAGACCGATCCTGGAAGTCAGGACACTGTGTTCTCGCCTCGGCCCTGGAACCTCGGGGCTAGGAGTCCTCACTGCAGACGTTCACCTGCGCCCTGCCTGCTACCTGGGCGCGGACATCTGCCCTGGCCCCTGCCCCCCTCCTTCCCCCGGCGGCATCTCCTCTCCTGCCGCCGTAACCTGACCCTCCGCGGGGTTTGGGCCTTGGAGCCGCGTCATCGTCGCGGAGGCGCTCGGGCTCCGGACTACGCTCTTGCTGTGCGCTCCCGGGACCCGCAGTGCTGGCTCTGCAGTAGGAGGCGCGCGGGCATGGCGCAGAGGTTGGACGAGTGGGTCCGGGGGCCCTCCGATGCCACCGGACTCTACCGGGCCGTGCTGCTCAGGTCGGGTAAGTGGGAGCAACGCCACCCTCGCCGCGGGAAGAGCGCGAGGAGGGCTCGGCGGTGCACAGCGCTCAATCCCTGGTCAGCCCGCCGCTGGCCGCCTCTGCTTCGTTGCTCTGCTTCTTTCCTAACCTTACGTCATTCTTTTTGCTTGCTTGCTTGTTTGTGACAGGGACTCATTCTTTCTCCCAGGCTAGAGTGCAGTGGCGCAATCGTAGCTCACTGCAGCTTCCAACTCCTGGGCTCAAGCGATCCTCCCGCCTCAGCCTCCTGAGTAGCTGGGACCACAGGTGCGCACCACTACACCCGGCTAATTTTTTAAATTTTTTGTAGAGACAGGGTCTCTCTAGTGCTGTCCAGGCTGGTCTCTAACGCCTGGACTCAAACGATCCTCACGTCATTCTTTTTAATTACTTTTCTTTTTTTTTCTTCCTTCCTCCTTTCCGCCTTTCTTTCCTTCCTTTGTTCCTTCCCTCTTCCTGCATTCATCCTTTTGGGGATCTATGACATACACTGTTTTCTTCCTATGTGTGAGAACACGCGCACACAGTTTCTTGACTACAGAAGTCCTGTGCGGTTCCACCTCCTGGCTGATATCTTAAACAGAGACTCACACAAGTGCGCGAAGGCGGCTGTAGGCGCGGCAGGTTTGGGCCAGGAGAGGGGAAAATGGGCACGACCGAGTAGCAGGCAATGGGGCATAAAGAAGCAGGAGCCTGGCAGCAAGGTTGAAGGAGGTCTGCTGTCCAGTGAGGCATAACATAGGAGGGGAGGAAAAGGGAAAGAGAGCTACGAGAGCAACTGCCTTTCTATATGTGTGCATGCAACGATTTGGAAGGAAACACAGGGTGGTTTTTTTTTCTTAAGGTTGGGGATTGGATGACAGATGCTTTTTCTCTTTCATCTTTTTGTTTGCTTGTTTGCAGTAAGCACTTGTTGCTTTTCTACTCAGGAAAAGGAGGCCTTTTTATTTAGAAAAATGAAGTTAACGTAATGTATGACCAGTGTCCAAATAATTCGGAGACTACAGGGATGTAGGGGGAAAAAAGAGAAAGAAAGCCCCAGTAAGCATTTGTGGTATTTCCTTCCGGAGTATCCTTGGAGAGAGACGTTTGGAGGAGGTGAAATGCTATCTCGTGCTGGGATCCTGCACCGTGCGGGTCCGTGATTACAAAGCGTCAAGGGACTTGGACTCACGGGCCAGCTACCCTCTGCCTTGGGCAAGGAGCTGGCGCTACCCGTGGGCCTGCCCGCCGACCCCTGTGGAGCCAAAGCGCGAGGCAAACCAGCTGCCGCGTCTGCAGCGGCGGTGCCTGTCCCCGCGCCCTGCGCGTCCAGGTCTGTAACTGTTCGCCCCTCTCGCTTAGGCCCCGCCTCCGGGAGATCCCGCCACCCAGTTACTGGCACCACAGTTCTCCAAGTCCCAAAGCAAGAACTGGCCCAAACTTCAGGATTGGCGGCGCCTTCCTAAAGGAGGGTCTCAAATCTGGCTGAGGCTGGGCAGGCAGAGAGGGAGAAGCTTTATCTTCAGACGAATCTGATTTCAAATCCCTGCTCCGGCGATTTCCCCATAAAGCACGCCACCCTAAGTGTCCCCACCCAGTTCTCGATCGTTTCACAAAGCTGCGGAGGGGGTCTCCCTAATCTGAAGGCCTTGTGTTCCCCCTCACCTCTTAGCTATCAACCCACGCAGAAAAGCAAACACGTAGGAGTGGTTCCAAGGGCTGCAGCCTGCCGGGTATGGAGCAGGAAGGGAGCAGTGCCTGAGAAAAGGGGACGGAGGCTGCACTGGCGAGCACTTAGTATCCGCTGCGCAGGCTGCCCTGGCTCCCTCCACCACTCTACAAGTGTTACCCGTTGACGGTGTCCTGGTTCTCGGCGTCTTGAACAAAGAATTGGACAAAACGCACAAAGCAAGGAAAGAATAAACAAAAGCAAAGATGTATTGAAAATGAAAGTACACTCCACAGGGCGGGAGGGGACCCGAGCGTGGGACCTCAAGAGCCCCGTTACAGAATTTTCTGGGGTTTAAATACCCTCTAGAGGTTTCCATTGGTTACTTAGTGTACGTCCTATGTAGACGAAGAGGACAAAGTGAAGTTATATAATCATTTATTGAGTGCACTCCCTATGTAAATGGACAGGATATTTCCTGTCATAGCCGAAGTGTTTCCGTTTGATTTCGTTCTGTTCTGAGAAGTCACCGTGAAGCGGCCTTATGTTCCCTGCCTCCAGACCCTATTCTCCTGCCTCGCAAGGACACTGCCAATTGTCATCTCCATTTAAGAGATAAGGAGACCGAGGTTCAGAGAGCTTAAGTACCTTGCCCGTGGTCCGCTAAGGAACATTTTCTACCCCACAAAGAAGTAGAAAACACATTCAAACTGTGGTCCATCCATGCCAAAGTCTGCACACCTTCGGATCATAGTCACAATAATGACTCATAATTGTTAGTCACTCACTGTCACCCCATCTCTGCTGTACATCTGCCATCTCATCAACTCCATTCATTTATTCATCCAGCTAATATTTATTGGCCTCTGTTTCCAACGTGAAGGGATGTATTTATAAATAAAACAGATCTGCCCCTCC